TCGTTCAATCCAATCCTACGATGGGTTATTATTATTTTTATTACGAGCATCGCTGATTACCAGAGAATCAATAATTAATTTCTTTATCTTTATATTCTGTCTCAATGTCTTGTTATCACTGATATATCAGAGGCGTCACGATTGTTAACGATCCGTGAAGAACGGATTGAATTGAATTTTCAGGTGAATACCGCACAGAGGAATATTGTTGAATAAAATTTGGAGATAAATAATCGGAATATTTCGATCGAATCGCTGAAATCGATAATTTTTTTAATTTTCTCAGATATTTATTTAATTCATCGGCGGAAGTTGTCGCGATTATTGAGAGTGATAACACCAAAATGCCCGTGGGATAAAGACGTAGGGAGTTGTGTCATAAAATTTCCTCTGGATCCCTCGTCATCTCATTCAATCGTGACCGAAACACTATCCCACGAGAGTTTAATCCTTCAACTCCTAAACGTCCGGGACGAAAACTAATGACACTGAAGTACTTTCAGGTCGGCTATGGAATACTGCGGACATTGGCGTCCCTCATAAACACATCATCGGTGTGGATAAATGTATTAATAAATCATTATATTGAGGATATAATAATGGAAATAATGCTGGCGATGGGATAGTTGCAGCACGGGATTTCACTACAGCTGTTTGATAGAATTTTCCTGCTTATTATCGGCAGGATGTTATTCTGAAAAATTGTTGATGATCCAGCCATTAGTTTTTTTTTTCGTTCGGCTAGTCTCATGAAATTAATTCACCAAGTTATTTATTTTCATGAATGTCATAAATTTAATTCTCATTCATTCGTATTTTTTTAATGATTTGCATAAATTTGAATCTTTTTGTATTTAAAATGTCTGTCCTTTCAAAATATTTAATTAAATTTAATAATTAATTGCAGGTGCTCTTGTTTAATAAACGATGAGTGATCTAGGGAATGTAAAAAAATGAACTACTTATTTATTTCATTTTTATGCATTTTCGTCTTTGATTTTTTTATTTAAAAAATTGATGACGTCTTGAGGATCATGATGAGAAACAGTATCAAATGACACCGAACACCGTCATCAAAAGGGCAATCCCGTGTTCATAAATTCCCCAGCAATACTATTCTAATTGAGCAGAAATACCACCGAGTGCACCTGTCAGGCATCCCAATGCATCATCCACCTGATGCACTTTCCTAAAAACACGATAGGTTCACCGCGTGTCAGATTTCCACAGCAAATACCCAGCGACATGATAAAAATATTTGAAAACATAAAAAAGAAAAAAATTGATAAAATCCCGACAGAAATCACACGGCAGACATGATCTCACTGGTAACAAAGAGGTTTCAGGATGGCACGGGAGATAACGAGATATTGCAATGATTTTATTCCATAATGAATAGCTTACATACGGTATATACGAGTATGTGCAGGGGGAATATTATCGAAGGAAAGTCTTTGAGTGAACGCCAGACACTTGATCCTCCAGCACCAGGTACAACTCAGGTGCACTTTCCACGGTACCGTCTGAATTCCTCATCGTGATAAAACAACTAATATATCATATTTTATATTAAATTACTCGGGTTAATGGTGTTTGGGTGATGGAGGTGGTTATCGCAGTGATAAAAATACCCATGTAAATAAAAAAAATTTGAATTATTAACGGATAGAGGAAAGTTGGATGGTGCCAATAGGATTTATTCCGGATGCCTGTGACTTTTGCATGTTGCCAGTGTTTTTAGATAAATTTTTTTTTCCATTCTATTCAACACTGGGGTTGCGACTTTCCATTAGCAATAAACAGCCTGATATATTCCGAGGTGTTTTACTATTTTTCACTGTACATAGGATTTCTACATACTCGTATTGTCACGTTTATTTATATATTAAATGGTTTATGCTAAATTGTCGCGTAGGCAAACGCACACTTGGAGAATTGGAGATGTGCATTTTCATTGTTGCGTGTTGCCACCTTTACCCATATTGGTTGACCACCCACACAGTATTACAACGGGTATTACTAGATGAGGTGAATCGTGGGGTTTTTATCTAACCTGGCGCCCCATCCTTGTGGCAATGTTAACTCGTGGAATTTATCGGTGGAGTTATTGGGGGATTTGTGGTATTTTACTTTTCTTGGTTTTCGGTAGTTTTGTTGGAAACTTTCGAAGGTTTCTACACCATTGGTTATTCTTCCGCAGTCCGACAATGTTGAGAGAGGCTTTCGACCGTGTTGGATGCACCTGGTCAAGGCGACAAACAATATAGGGAAACGTGGGAATCTGATTTTGCAATCCGCCGCGAAGACATTCCGCGTCAGGGAATTTCTGGGAGACGGTAATCGGAGACGATATTAGAACGCGAGGTATCGAAAAACGAGAATTTAAAATTTCAATAGAAAGAATTTTTATTTTTAATACTCATTTCTATTTTTTAAAATTCCCTCTTCGAATGGTAAATTTCTCTTTGATAATTTCAAAAAAATTTGCAGATTGAATTTTCATAATCCAATCAGCAAAATGTGCATAAATTAAATCCAATGGGGAATTCTCGATCTTCGATTCATCGAGAATTTCCGGGGCGATTCGGGTGAGAGGTCACAGGGGTAAATGAAGATGGAGAAACTTATTAAAGATTTCCGGTTGGTCTCCGTTGCTCAATTCTTGATACTCGCCTCAGCATTTGATTGTCGACTACAAACTCCGAGTAACTTCTGGATCCGGTAGTAATTCAAGTCAGGAGTCGCTTTGCTTAACGAGATGTAACTCAAAACTGCTTATGTAAGCTCCTTGGAATAATAATACTGTGTCGAGTGTACACGGTTGAAGAGGTCGCCGACGAAAACTCGAATGTCACGACGTTCGAGGGTATGAGGCACGTCGGAATCTCCATATTTTATTCATTTCACTTTTTATAGGGCTATTACTACACTCTTCGCAATTCCAAAGTTTCTCTATTCATATCGATCACCCGACAACACAGGATTGCAGAATATTTTATTTTAAATTGATATTTACCTTGAAATTGTGAATATAACAGAGTAATTTTTTTTCACTCCGTTTTTTTCGAGGTAAAAGATGTAAATAATTCCAGGTAAATTCGTGACAACTTTAGGAAAAGAACAGGTACTAAATATAAACTGTATCACGGGGTTATAATCTGAGTGGCTCCTCATTCCTTTGCGGAAGTTTGTCGCAATGCGACGGTGGAAGGTAGAAACTCGTGGAACGGCCTCACCAGGATATCCAGATTTCACGTGAATCTCCAAGAGGGAAGGGAAATGTCGGTGGTTATCACAGAGAGAAGCCAGGGTTACTCGACCTCAAAATTGCCAGAGGCAAATAGCCGAGGACTTTTGCTCTCGTATGACGCATCAGTCGTTGGCTACGTGCCACACGTGGACATTTCGGGAATATCTCTGGTGTAATGACACCCGCAGATTGTCTATCCCGGAAGGATCCGCGGAGCCTCCAGGATCGACTTAATTGCAGAAGCAGTACTGGATCAACTGTGATCTTGAATAAATTTTCAGATTTATTACTCGGTACAGAAATTCACGAAAAACACGGATATAATCTCCAGGACTTCCTCAAAGTGTCTTCACCACCAATAACATTTCCTCCACTTCGAGGCCAGTTCATTGCCCTCGGCTAAAACTTGAAGAAGCTATCTGGAAATTCTCCACCACTAAAACGTAAAAAGTTAACTGATCTCCTCACAACGGAGTGGCGCCCAAAACTCACAAGAAGTTTGAGGTTTCTCGGTTGGAAAGTATTTTTAAAACTCGTTCAGCAACGTCCTGGCCATCTTTGGTGGAACATTGGCGGTTCGAGGAAGTGGCCATCGGCCATTCCACCCGGGGTACAATGATACCAACTACACCAGCCAATTTAAATTTGTCCGCGGGTTTGTTCACCGTCTCTCCCCTTTTAATCGTCGAAACCAACTCTTCAGTACTTTACCGTCATCCGTAAGAGCATCCGCACCAATCTAAAGTGTTCTTCGGCATCGCCTTTAGTGGTTTTTGTTGATTTAATGCATCGCCAGTGGTCCGGGACAACCTCGTGCTCTTAACGACTAGTAAACAACCTCGAGATCATTAAAAAATCCATTCAACCTTATCTCCATAGATAAATGTATCGAAAAAAAAATTAGATAGCACTCGTTTCGGTGAAGATCACTCAAAAAAAAACGAAGGCCAAACGAAGTACTCGACTTTACATACAAAGTCGTACATGGCAATGAAAATGAAAAAAAAAAAGCAAAACTGATTGAACTGATGCGTCTCGTTGCTATGCAACAGAATATTGCGGAAAGATTGAATAATTTTGAAGGTCTTGGGGTGAATATTCCGATGTTGGGAATCCCCTCGGCGATGGGCAACTTATCAGTTATCATATGGTACATGGGTTCTTGGGATTCAAGTCAGGGTGTGTGATACTTGGAGGGGATTTTTAAAAACTTGTTCGATACCGCCGCGCCATGTTGGGAGGATGGCGCCGTTTTGCCGATGCGAATGGACGATGGGTGGCCCTTGGATGACTACAAACGGGTGACGAAAGAAATCTCAAGTGCCTTCATCTTCTCTCTTCTCACCGATCACCACGGCATCGCCAGAGGGAGGAATAGTGGCCCCATGAGCTTATACTTTTTTTTATTCACGGTTTCGATTATGCGACCGGGAATTGCCCTCAATGCTGCCAGTCGGCTATTTTACGATCTACTGTAAATACCTGGAGAATGGCCCATGGGGTGGCTAATGAAGCTGAAGTCATCTCCATCGGATTGCATTCACTCTCTACGTTATAAATTAGACTTATCATTTCTTCCATGCCACTGAGTTATGGCTGTACATCCCATTTTCAATCCGACGTCACGAAAAATAATTCCAATCATGAGGAAATTATTTTTGTAGCACTCCTTCCCTAGTATTAACCATCGATAATTCATTAATCGAAGCTGAAATAATTAATTATGATACGAAAATTAGTTGTTTATTGCATAAAATAAATATAATTAATCAGACATAACATTATTTGTCATAATTTCAGTTTTAGTTTTCGTATTCGAAAACTAAAAATAAACTAAATAAACTAAAATAAACTAAAATTTGTTTTTTTCAGCACAACGGAATCAAGTAAGGTGGGGCAAGAGCGCGTTCACTTTTTCTATGTCAGTAATTAGTCTTCTTATCTCCTCGATACAGTTGGTTAAACCCTCTGTCAACATTTGGAAATCCGTATAGGTCCTTGACTCTGCTTTATTGAAACAGTCAGTCACATTGGTTATGTCTCTCGAAAACTTCGTCACATTGTAAGCTTTCAGGCCCCATTTCAAAATGTCCTTATTAATAGCCTCGTAGGTCCGACTGCTACATCTCGAACGATAGTCAATACATTTCTGCAAGCGTACAAGTTCTGCTTGGTAGGACTGTCCCTCCTATGTATACATGCATAAACAATGTATAATCCATATGCCCGTGGAAATATCGTAGAGTAATACGTTATTATCTGCAATATGTATTTCAATTGTTTTTTACTTACACTGCACCATTCGTGAATACTTCGTTTCTTGTTTTCGTAGTTCTCCGGATCAAAAACACACAGGGACAAGTGATGGACATAAGTATTGACAATCATATATATATGCATCCCTGTATTTATACATTTTTGTAAGTCCGTTTTCTGTGGAGGACGCAGAAGTACGAAGAGATTGAAAAAGGATGTTTGGGGCTTCTAAACAAATATTCACTTATTGGCGACTGAATATTGGCGATTGGATTAGTCAATGTATTCATTATTGGAACCAATACGTGGAATATTCAGAAAAAATAACAATTCTATAATTCTATATTGATGGAAATTAATTAAGACTATTTTCCTTACTCCAGGTGATTCTTAATTGAGAAAAGAAACTCACCAGAATGGACTTAAGATCCACCAGTAGCAAATTATTGAAGCGCATTTGTTTTTCTGATATGCTCTTATTAACGTTGTCAAATAGTTTGAAAACGCATCTATTTTCTGTGACATCCTTGATGATACGGGTGATGTAGCCAAACATCGGCTGTGTGTGCAAGGTTTCAGACTGGAAAATAAATCAGTGAGAACAAATCCTATTAAAAAAATCTAACGATTAATTACCTCGTCGAAGAGAAAAACTAAACGAGTAAGAATAAGTCCGTATAACATCATCGCAGCTACCAACGAATGACTAATAATATGGATTAATACGTCAATACTTTATGTTTTCAGTAGTAGTGACCCAACATTTTTTCCTGCGAACGTGCCTCTCTCGACATTTACTCATACTGCTGATATTAAAAACAAAATAAATGGAGAAATACATCTTCATGTCGTGGACATAAGTATAAATAAAACCCAAAAAAATTCCCTGAACATGATTTTGCAGAGAAGATGTGAGGGATTTAATTTTTTAATTTTTTAATTTTTCATCAATGTAATTTATTCATTCATTATTTATCATTCATTATTAACGTAATAGTCATTCCTTCAGGAGAACCTGAGGCAGCAAATTCTTTAATAGAAAGAGCAGCGATACACTGCTCTGCAGTTGCGACACATGAGTTGTACTTTCGTTTGTATTCATTTGTAGTTTCTTCGAAGCAGTCTAGAATTTTAGTTTTGCTCACACGACTCAATCGTCGTACAGTGTTCATCAATTTTATTCCCTTTGACTTCCAGGTTTGAAATGCAACTTGAAGTCCCACACGATCCGAATTCATTTCGATTTCATTTTGAAGATTCACACCTCTCTATCAACAGATACGATTTCGATTGCACTATATCGAACGATTTTATTTCGATTTACTCACCTCCTTCCATCGATCAATCCTATTTTGCACATCTGTATAATTCGGTACGTTGTTGAGGACACAGAAATGCAGCGCATAAAGATGTTCCATTAAAATATTTCCAATTGGCCTTTTGAAGGCCTTGTCACATTTTTCTGTATTTTTTCCCTCTTTCTCGGCTTTCTCAAAAGATTGCAAGATCTAATGAGGAAAAAATCGAGGGATTATTCCTCAGAGGTTGATATTCCTCTTTCAGTGTTAAGACATTTTTTTTTTAATTAATCTTACGGCAGATTCGTTCAGATGAGTCACTAGCGTGTCGATTGCTTCTGCTCTCCTTTTCGTGTAATTTCTTCCAATGATGTGGGAAATATTTATCATGCGAATAGCTTTGTAATTAATTACAGCTTTGATGGACTGGTCAATTGATTCGCTGGTCAATTCTTCGAAATCCTCCGTCGTTGCTCTAGCCTTCGATCGAAATGAATTATTTTTAAATGAATTATTTAATTTTGTTATTGAGATTTCAAGAAATTGTTGAACTGCACGTTTGAATAATTAAGTAATTTAATTAGAATACTCACGTGGGTAATGAGAATAGACGCGAAAACAGCGACAAGTCCGTAGGATTTCATTTTATGATTGATCTAGCTATAATTTTTTGCGCGCTTTTTATATCCCCCATCTCCCCTCACTGCGTGTCAAAATCATAATTAAATAGGTAATAATTATCACGAATTATTTTGAAACGTCTATGTACACGTTTGACATGTTTGACATGTTGAGTCAATACCAATCATTACAGGGGAATGATTTTTGTCAAAGACTTCTCAATATAGAATAATTCGAGGATGTTCATTCATGTGTGATTGCTTTAAATACCGCGTTAATTACTGTTTTAATTATTCAATGAAAAGAATCATAGAAAAGTGTACGGAATATTCCACGATATTCCACGAAATATTGATATCAAGTTCTTTAAAAAATGAATGTTTAAAAATTTAAAAGGATTCGTCATTTTGATTTCGCGTATTTCAAAATTTAATTTTTATTTTCCATTTTTGATGAAATAATAATACCGACAGCCGATTATTTTTTTAATTCGTTAGGGCACGTGAGTTCCCATGAAATTCGTCACATTTTGTGGGAATTATGACCTCGATAAATGCTAAAAATTGGCCACGTCAATGACTATTGCTTGACTATTGTCATTGACAATAGAATTGGCCATTTGGCGCGTGGGCTGGAGTTGAAACGAGTATGAAACGAATGAGCCACTTGGGTGATTCAAGAATTGTGTCACGAACGATCGGGAACGATGGCTTTGTGAAAGCCATTCAAGTGGTGTTAATTAAATTGTAATGACCATAAATTATACGGTGGAAAGACAATAAAAAACGGGGAAAAATTATAAATTTTTGGGTATTTTCGTAAACTTGAGATTTCATGAATTTCTTCATTCAAAATTCTCTCGAATTTCGCGCTATTAAAAATTACTGTTCAAATCCCTATGGAATTTTAATTGTTTTTAAAAGAATTTCCATTACATTTTCGTGGTTTCATTTTGATGGAATCATTGTTTAACATAAATAAATTTTTTTCAAAATTTTCATTCAAATTTCTCTCGAATTTCGCGCTATTAAAAATTACTGTTCAAATCCCTATGGAATTTTAATTGTTTTTAAAACAATTTCCATTACATTTTGGAATTGGAATTATTGTTTAGTATAAATAAATTTTTTTTCTTATCCCCATACCAGAGAAGCGTCGATATCTTCAATTTATGATAATTATTATCTCATTTGTTGTCTGGCGTGGGGAATAATTCCAAGTTTGCTGGCAATGGCGGTGCATTTGCGGAAGACAAATGTCATCCATTTTGTCGGGATATGGGAATTGATAATGCAGTCTCACAATGTCCAAATATCGATGAGGAAAGGAGAGATCCAGAAGTCGGGGAGATAATGCTGGCACTGGACCGTAGTACTGGCACATGGAGTTTTAAAACGTCCCAGTGAATTCGATTTCAATGCAGGAAAAACGGGGAATCCCCCCTTGCTATCTACGTTGCCAGCGATATCCAGAGAAACGACCTATCGTGATTTATTCTTTTACAGATAGCCCTTCGTGTGCAGCCACACATATCACGTGACATCTTCCTATTCGAAATTTTTTTTTTGTACCATTCAATGGTAAATTGCGGGTAATGAGTGTATGAATGGGTAACAACCTCCGGGCATGACCACTTTGATTGAAGGTTCTTATTGTTTTGGAAAAATTTTGAAAAATTTTCATAAATCTGGAAAAATTGGGAAAAATTTGGAAAAATTGATAAATGAAAAATACGTGCGCAGACTCGGCCCGAAAAATACAAAAAAAAAATGAAATAAAGAGGGACACGCCGAAAGAACTCGAATGAGTATGACGTAACCGCAAATGTTCATCAGACCTAATGGTACAGCATCGCCAGTGACCGCAGAACTAAATGAAACTCGTTCCAACGACGGGGCATACCCGTAGAATTGGAAGGGTCTCCGTATCCGAGGTAAAATTATACCCACCCGGTAAAAAAGATAGCCCTGAACAATTTGCCAACATGCGATTAGAATTTAAAGTACATCGAACTACTGGAGTGGGGGGAGAGGGGGAATTCACAAGTACACCAATGAATAATTTATTCCACTCAAACATTTGCTAACATCCACGGAATTTCCGATTTATATTGTTCGTCCAGGTGTTCAGGGCATACCCCGGCTTTCGTAACGCAAATAATGAGGCTATATTACGTTTATATTGCCATTATGTAATTATGGAGCTGGTGGTAATAGCCGGGGAGTAATGACTGGTGTCGCGAAAGTGTCACCCCTCGGGCCCGCGATAAAAGGGAATAGCCGGTCACTTACATGAGGAGAAATTTTCGGAGGGAATTATCCTTCCAGGGGGATAAATGAGTACTTGCTTCTTTTTTTTTTTATGTCTTTTTGCGGAGGTCTCGGGAAAATTTATGCTCAAAATTTCAGGACACGGGGAAAGTTCAGCGATGGAATTCCTTAACTTGGAATTTTTTGAAATTACAATTATTTTTCAGGATGACAATTTTTTTTTTTTAATTCATTAATTTAATATTTATATTGAATTATTGATGGCTTGTAATTGCTTTGGAAAAATTAGACAATTGTTCAATTAATGGGAGGAGGGAATATTTTGAAAAATGGAAATAAATTTTACATAAATTCAGGATTGCTGAAGGAAATTATTCTTCTAGTAAATTCCCGAGAGTTGTTTCGTCAGGTTCTAAAACATTTATTATTATTAATATTCACAGATAACCTGAATTTTAAAACGCATTAAGAAAATTTAACAGCAGAAATGCATTATGTATACGAGACATTACATGATTATCCAATATTTTCTATTTACATTCGTCGCTGGAACTTTCATGTTGATTTCTTTTAGATTTTAAGAGTAATTTTCTGCAAGTATCACCTCTTCAAGAAACGCAATGTCCACTTCATTTATCGACATGATATTCGATTCCACTCGTGTCGATCACCAATAAAATCCCCGTTTCCTCATTCCTATCGAAAAAAAAATACGCACATACAGAGTCATCGCCATTTTATGTTCGATGCATAAAATAATCGAATACCACGAACATCAGATTTTTTCGCGGGCAGAGAAAAAATAAATTTCTCACTTCTCCTAGTCCTTCAACCCTCAAAAAAAAAATATATATATTTGATATATTTATCCAGATTTATCCATCCATCTCCGAAAAATCTCTTCAAAAAAATTCCCCATTATTCCAATTAAATTCCCCATCCGCTGACTCGAAAATTTGTTATTAATTATTATTTATGTGGGTTTAATTGAATCGTGTGGTTTCGATTGTCGATTTTGGGTATCTCTGGATTTGCTGGAAATTTCTTTTAAAAAAAGTGCATGTGTGGATCGATCGGCTGTGGAGCTCTCATCTCGTATTTACCCTCGACAAAGCGATGTGAAACACATGTGGGATGAAGAGGAAAGTACACAAGTGCCAAAAGTACGTAAATCCATGGGGCAATGGCCGGTCGCCCATCCATCATAAATATTTCATCCAACATATCGAGTCGGACATCTGCACTCGTCTGGGTTATGTACATTGTAGAGAGTCAAATTTCTCATGCTGTCCCACATGCATTACCTCACAGTCACGAATTACAAATATTAACATTACCCAGTAGATGAGAGTAATTGAACGGGGCGCGGATTTACATCTGATGTGTCATGACATTTCTCATGGCGTCGTAATTGATTTTTTTTCTCTTTGTAGGACTTACGTAATACGCCTGGGGAATTTTATGGACCAATAAAATTCAACCGTGAGGGAATGAGTGAGAGAATTTCAAGTGATTTTTTGAAATTGAATTTCTCGCGCTAAGAATTAGCGGAAATACTTGTTCCCGGGATTTTATTGCGGGTAGATCG